AGCGCACTCACGCTCGGCCCTGCACGGAGATGCGTTCAGTGCCTACCAAGCCGCCACCCCCCCCGAGCCAACACGAGAGAGAAAATGAGGGTCAGGGGGGACACGGAGAGCATCTAATCCAGCCCTCCGGGGGAGGGGGCGCTGTTATAACGGCGAGCGATGAAGGATACGGATTGCTGAACATCCGCTTGAGGTCCACCTTCTCCTTGCAGTACGGACAGGTCTGCTTCTTGCCCACGATGCACCAGCCCCGGATGCAGAACTCGTGAAAGCTGGAGGGCAGCCAGTTAAGGAGCAGGCGAGGCAGGCAGAGCCCGGACGTTGATAGAAAAGAACGCCGCAGCTCAGGGCTGAGCTGTGGGGGTCCCTGGGGGTCTCTGAGCCGGGCGGTTTTCTTGCAGATTGTTCATAACCCAAGTAGGGAACATCATCAGGGCGATCGTCCTTAGCGTTAGCATTGATGATGTTCCCTAGCTGAGTCGTGAAACGTTTGCAAGAAAACCGCCCAGCTCAGAGAGCACCCAGGACCCCACAGTTGTTGTCGTTGTCGTCTCCCTCCCTTCTAGCATTGATATTGTTATCCAGTTGGGTTGTAAAATGTCTGCAAGAAAACTGCCCGGCTCAGAGAGCACCAGGGACCCCACAGTCCTCCTCCTCCTCCTCCTCCTCTCCACAAATCCCACTCCCTTCTAGCATTGATGATGTTCCCTAGTTGGGTCATGAAATGTGTGAAAGAAAACCGCCTGGCTCAGACAGCACCAGAGACCCCACAGTCCTCCTCCTCCTCCTCCCCCCTTTTGGCACTGATGATGTTCCCTAGCTGGGTCATGAAACGTCTGCAAGAAAACCGCCCGGCTCAGAGAGCACCAAGGACCCCACCATGGTTAACGCTGCAGTGAACGGAGGCTTGAGCTGTATGCAATTCTCCCCACCACTCTCTGGGGAGGCATCCTAACTGGGACGACCAATTTTAGCCAAACCCAAACACCGTCCTCCAGCTCAGGATCTCCTGGGTGTCTCTTTAGATTTGACCCCGGAGGAGGAGGAGGAGGAGGAGGAGGCCGAAGAGGCACACTGGAAGTGAGCTGTGCTGGCTCCCACATCGCCCTGGGAGGTGACTGCTCTGCCAGAGGCACGTGACTCACAGGCTGTGCCTCCAGGCATGACAAAGCCTGGGTGTGTGAGGGCAAAGGACACTGGGGGTCACGCCAGGCAGCCTGGAGTGGGAGGATAGGCCCTTCCCTTCTCCGGGCTGTTCCTCCGGAGGCTTCCAAGGAATCCGGGCTGTGCCTTCCCTTCCCTGCTCCCAGGCCACAATCCCATGTGCCTGAGCAGGGCGACTGTGCTGCCCTGGCCCAACAGCACCGGTGGGCCTTTCAGGGCAGGGAGGGGACCCTCGGCCTCCCCACCATCCCTTCCAGACGGCCCCCTCCTCTCCTCCCAATCCCATCGCTTCACTGCGCCCCTGACAGGTCAGGCTGGGGACTACAACTCCCATCCTCTCCAGCCCTCTGGGTGCTACAGGTCGGCCCAGGTGGAGAGCCCAAATTGGGGAGCGCCAGCACCTGTTTTCAAAGCTCCTCCCCTCCACTGCAGGGAGTCCTCGACTTGCAACATTTCTTTTAGTGACCGTTCCAAGTTCTGACAGCACTGAAAAAAGGCGACCTGGGACCGTTTTTCACACTTACGACCGTTGCAGCCTCCCTGGGGTCACGTGATCTAAATTCGGACGCTGGGCAACCGACTCGTATTTATGACGGTCGCAGCCTCCCCCGGGGGGCTCACACGATCCCCTTTTGTGACCTTCCGACCAGCAAAGTCCACAGGGGAAGCCGGATTCACTTAACAACCGGGTGACTCACTTAGGAACTGCAGTGATTCACTTAACAACGGTGGGGCAAAACTCATTGGGGCAAAATGTTTCTCTTAGCAATATACATGTTGGGCTCCACTGTTGACGTAACTTGAGTCCTACCTGTACTAACAACTGCCGTGATTCGTTAACAGCAGCGGCCGGAAAGTCGTAAAGTGGGGCAAAACTCACTGAACGACCGCCTTGCTTAGCAGTGGAGATTCTGGGCCCGTTTGTGGCCGTCAAGTAGGGGACGATCCGCCCTTGGGCTCCTCCTTGGGAACCGGGCTGTTTTATAATAATAATGATAATAATAAAGTTGGAAGGGACCTTGGAGGTTATCTAGTCCAACCCCCTGCTCAGGCAGGGAACCCTACAGTATTCCAGACAAATGGCTGTCCAGTCTCTTCTTTAAAACTTCCAGTGTTGGAGCATTCACCACTTCTGGAGGCAAGGAGTTCCACTGGTTAATTGTTCTAACTTTCAGAAAATTTCTTCTTAGTTCTAGGTTACTTCTCTGTTTGGTTAGTTTCCATCCGTCGCGTCTTGTTTTCTTCCTCCTGGGGTTCCCCTCCGGGGTGGGGTGGGTGAGTCACCTCACCTTTGACACACACACACACACAGAGGAGTCCCCCCCCCGCCCCCAAGTCAGAGGAATCCCCTGCGGGAGGGGGCTGAGTCACGGCCCCGTGGCTTCCCCTTAGGGCTCTCCAGGGGACCGACCGCGGGAAGGCTTCCCAGAAAACCCAGCCGGGGAAGTGCTGGGCCTCTGCACGCGTGTGTCATGCCATAGGGGCAGAGGGGAGACCGTGCACACACACACACACACACACACAGGGACAGGCCTGCCCTGGAGGACCCACCAGGAGACAGAGGCTCTGTGAAGAAGCCCACCCCCCACGGACAGGGGTCTTCCTGGCATGGCCTGCTGGTGGCCATGCTCAGCCCCAAGCCGTGGGGCAGAAGCTCGGCCGTGGGGCTGCAGGCTCAGTGGTCCGGGGTGGTTGTTAAATTCGTCACACACACACACACACACAGTTAAGTGAATCCGGCTTCCCCCATGGACTTTGCACGTCAGAAGGTCGCAAAAGTGGATTGTGTGATCCTCCCAGGGACGCTGCGACCGTCATAACTATGAGTCAGTTGGCACAAGTGCCTCCATGCTGATCACGTGACCAGGGGACGCTGTGATAAACAGTCCTAAGTCACTTGTCCAAAATGGCGTAGGGTTTCCTGCCTGAGCAGGGGTTTGGACTAGATGACCTCCAAGGTCCCTTCCAACTTTATATTATTATTATTATTATTATTATTATTATTATTATTATTATTATTATTATTATTATTATTATATTATTATTATTATTATATTATTATTATTATTATTATTATTATTATTATTATTATTATTATTATTATTATTATTATTATTATTATTATTACTTTTTTCAGTGCCTGCTACAACTCTGATTGGTCACTAAACGAACTGTCGTAAGTCGAGGACTGCGATGGTCGTAAGTGTGGGAAATGGCCCCAGGACACTTTAGTGACCCAAGAACGAAAGGAGGACCGCCTGTAGTCCAGAGTGCGGACAGGACTCTCCTCCTGTGACAGGCAGGCGGTCCGTGTGTGGTGTGTGCGTGCGCACAGGGAGGTGTGTGGGCAAACACAACTGCAGCCCCCGACAGCTGCTCCCCCCCATCTGTCCCCCCCCAACCCCCGGGAAGGAAGGATACACGTGGTTGCAGGAGAGCCGGTAGGTGTTCTCGATGATCCCCTCCTCGCTCACGTCCACGAAGATCGGCTGCCCGCAGACGGCGCAGACGCTGTCCGACAGGTGCTTGGTGGGCATGCCGGAGGCGCTGTAGAACTGCCCCACAGAGGGGAGGGAGGGAGGGAGGGGGTGGTTTGCAAGAGGCCCTGGGGGAGCCAGGACCCCCCCTTCCGGGGAAGCACCCCAATGCACGGGAGGGACTGTGGGACCCATAAGCCACGGCTGTGAAAGCCCCTCCAGTGCGATGGGCAGAGAGGGGTGCCCGGCCCCTCCAAGCCCCGCCCCCAAATCTCCAGGACAGGCTTTGCCCCACACGGAGAAGGGGAAAGAGCCACAGCGCCAGCTAGTGGCCAAAGTCCCTCTGCGCGCCTCCCTTTCTCCAGCTTGGCCACAGGTGGACTTCAACTCCCAGAATGCCCCAGCCATCAGAGCTCTTCCCTTTTCTTCCTATCCTTTCCTTCTTCTTTCTCTTCCTTCCTTCCTTCCCTTTCCTCTCTTCTTCCTTGCTTCCATTTTTCGTTACTTCCTCATACTTTTTTCCTTCCTTCCTTCCTCTCCTCCCTCCCTTTCTTCTCTTCTTCCTTGCTTCTATTTTTCGTTACTTTCTCATACTTTTCCTTCCTTCCTTCCTTCCATCCCTCCCTCCCTCCCATTTCACCTTCCTTCCTTCCTTCCTCTCGTCCGTCTTTCCTCTCTTCTTCCTTGCTTCCATTTATCATTCCTCATACTTTTTTCCTTCCTTCCTTCCTTCCCCCCCTTCCTTCTTTCCATCCCTCCCCCTTCACCTTCCTTCCTTCCTCTCCTCCCTCCCTCCGTCTTTCTTCTCTTCTTCCTTGCTTCCATTTTTTGTTACTTTCTCATACTTTTCCTTCCTTCTTTCCATCCCTCCCCCATTTCACCTTCCTTCCTTCCTCCGTCTTTCTTCTTCGTTGCTTCCATTTTTTGTTACTTCCTTCCTTCCTTCCTTCCATCCATCTCCCCCTTTCACCTTCCTTCCTCTCCTCCCTCCCTGTCTCTCTTCTCTTCTTCCTTCCTTCCTTCTTCCTCATAGCAGGCTGGGGAATTCTGGGAGTTGAAATCCACCCATCTTAAAGAGGCCAAGCTTGGGAGGTGCTGCCTTAGAAGGAGGTCGAAGGAAGCCACTCCAAATGGTCATTTGACCTCCTGACCCCAAGAGGGCTCACCCTCCAGGAAGCAGCTGGGGGAGGGTCCCAGGCCAAGCCCATC